CTCATCCCACCCATCCGTCGCATACATTGGAAAATAGAAGCAGGACCTCATGCACCTCGTTCCCCTTGAGAATTGGAGCAAAGCCGTGTTTAGGATAGCCAAAAGTTCCTTTTTTAAGCATCTATACCAGAATCAGCTTAAAAGATACTCTTCTAGTGGCAATAAGTACCTGCACAAATTGCAAAAGCTTCCTCCTATAGAGATAAATGTTTTAGGGTCTGTAGTCACAGAGGTGATGTCAACAACAATTTCGTAAGGGGGCCCTGGCTGAGTAATGAAGTCCTTTTCCTTAATTCTTCTTGACTTAGTTACTTCTTATGTTTAACCCTCTCTTACATTCTAAGCCCCGAGGGGCAACGTGTTCCTCCTTTCTGCTCCCTCTTTCTCTCCCACTTTCTGTCACTAATTTTGTACCCTTCTTGGTGATTTCTTTTCTATTTCTTTGTCTCCTCCCTGATCTATATGGTCCCTTTTTCCAATTTGTTCCCAAACCTTAATGATGACCATTGTATGCAACCTCTCCACTTGGGCTACTTACTTCACTTTTGACTACCCATTTTTTTTCTGGCACCACCTGGTTTTCTTGTTTTGTTTGTACGCATGAATGAATGAATCTTGACTTCTTCACAGCCCATGCATGGCTGATCCTGCTTTTCACTTTTCTTGTGAAAAATAAAAACAAATTGACAAATAGAAATTTGGTCTTCTGTACACTAAAGGGGGAGCTTCAGTCACCCCCCAAACCCCCCCCCCCCTAAAAAACAAATACTGTAGCTGCTGACTTTTAATAACAGGACACGTATTTGCCCAATTATCCAGTGCCGTCCTCACCTGGGCTGGTTCTTCACCAATCTTCAGGTCCCTGGCACCAGCGTGTTTACCAAGGGAAACCATCTGTGAAGCCTTTGCCAATGGTCCTGCAGTTTTTTGGGACCTGTGATGAGTCCCAGAAGGCTGCAGGCAAAGGAGGGGTAAACTTCTTCTCAGATCGCCTAGGCAGTCCAGGAAGAAGTGGGAGCTGGAACCTGTCAAAACCAGGTCACCCCCACTACATCCTGAAAAAAAGTTTTCCAAAAATGGGAGAGGGGGGGGGGGGGGGAGTCAGAAAAGTGGAACTTCCCTTTTTGTGTGAAGTTACGCTTTAAAGATTTATCAGCATTTTATTTTTGCTGTGCTGTCTCCTATGAGACAAAGTACATGTAGTAATACATCCCAAGTTGCTAAGTGCTTTCAAAGTCTAGTTATGATGTTTGACCTGCCCTCCCTCCACTCCTGCCACAGTTGATCTGACAACAGCAAGGAAGGAGATGACTAATTCATAATGGTAGCTTGTCTCAGCTGAGAACGTTCTATATACAAGAGAAATGCAGAGGCTAACACACCCCCTCCTTCTTCATTCCTCTAGCCATTGCATATCTCGGGAAAGTGCTCATAGCCGACACAAGCTGCTGTTATAAATCAGCTATGTCATTCCTAAGAGAGGAGAGGTGGGGCAGGTCAGACCATAAAGCTATAGTTTGAAAGCACTACATGTACTTTGTCCCATAGGAGACAGAACAGTAAAAAAATATTTTTTTAAAACTAGAATTGCTTCTCTGATTAAAGCTATGTTGGTAAAGCTGTTTTTAGTGTTTTTTTAGAAGCTAGGCCTCCCCTACTGATATGCTAATTAACCTGTTGAACTGGTTTGTGAAGCTCAGGACAGGAAGTGATGTACAGGAAGTGGGGGGAGGGAAAATGACTTAAACAAGACTTGAACACCTAGTGAGAGACAAAGTTGAATGTGCAGCTTTAGTAAATGCACATTAATACAGTATAGAGGTTTCTAAGCTTCCTTGATTCTACCACAAAGAAACCTTCATAGAAACAAAGCAAAACAAAAGCCAGGATAAAAAACGAACCATTAAATATGTAAACAGGTCTCTTTGATCAATTTTTAATACAACTTTTTCAAATATTAGTAGAATGTTCCTTTGCTAGTTTAAAGATGTTCTGGTTTGTTTGATTAATTTGCTTATCAATATTTTATTAGACAAAAAATTGAGCGGTCAGAACAAAGCTGTAGAAAATAAGAGACACAGGAATGGTGGCGGATAAGACAACAAGATTAGAAATATCTTTAAAAAGTCATTTTAGCCTGGAGGAATGAGAGGAAGTGGATACTTTCTGCACTGTTCATAAGTGTATTCATTCATACGTGACCACAATCTATTGTTCTCAATGGGCTGATAGGAAATTCATTTTCCAGGACAGAACATGAAATCAATGAAGACTCAACTGTAAGGGTCTGCTATTCTGGTTGATATAAAAACTGTTATATTTGGTGCTGAGAGAAACGCTGCAAACATAACAAATAGAAAGTAACTATAGATCACATTGAAGGCAATTCCTTCCACAAGATAAACTTAGACTCTTATTTCAGATGGCACACTGTAGAGGAGCCACGAAATAAGACTCCTACCTCATCTCCCACCACCTAACCATTGTTGGCATTTTTGGATATTGTGGGCAACAATATAGCAATGCAAACAGTAGAGCAATGGGTAACAGTGTAGCAATGCAAGCTGCCCCAGTGGTAAGGGTTGTATGGGAAGTCTTCCAAAATGGAGAGGAAAGGAACTCTCCATGCCATAAAACAGTACTCAGTACCCATCAGCCAGTTCTAAGAATTGTCTTTTGGGCAGTGCTGGGACAAGGTCATCTGCCCAGGGTGAAAATGCCAAATGGTGACCCCCCCCATCCAAAGGAATGAGCATAAAATGTCAGCAAAAATCCCTTCTATTTCCCTCTCAAAAATCTGCACACTTAAATTCCATTTGCAAGCCACAATTTCCTCAAACGAAAAATCCCCCAAAGCCCCCCCCCCCTGCTGAAATTCCAAACCCAGGACAAATTTTTGCCCCCAGTGTCCTTTCTCCTGCACATATCCTCTACCCTTTAAATTTCCCTTCTGACCATGCATACCCCCCACCTCCAAATCTCCCCTCCTACTACAAATCCCCCCCCAATCCCCCTTCCTAACACAAATTCCCCTCCTAGTACAAATCCCCCCTCCCAAATCCCCCTCCTAGCACAAGTCACCCGCCCCCTCCAAATGTTTCCTCCTAAAATGAATAGTACGCTACTGACACTGCTGAATTTTTTCCTCCCAGTATCCTCCCCCAATCCCCCTCCTAGCACTAATGCTCTTCTCCTTCACCCTTCTATCACAAATACTCTCATTCCCGGCAAAAATGTTTGTTACTCTAAAACTGCTGTCACTACTCCTTCCAGCTTGTTGGTAGGAACTCTCCAGCACCCCTCCCCACCTCACATGATACCACTGTGCACAGGGCAACTGCCCCTGCTGCCCACCCCTTGACCCAGCCCTTCATATACAGGTAGGTCCATATATATTTGGACACAGGCACAATTTTAGATTGTTTTTAGGTATTTACCAAAACATATTCAAGCTATAGTTATGCAATGGATATGGGCTGACAGTGTACACTCAGGTTTAAATTGAGGGTATGTACATCCAAATTGGAGGAAGGGTTTAGGAATTGCAGCTCTTAAGAGTAGCCATCCCCCCTTTTTCCAGGTACTAAACGTAATTGGACAATTGAATCAAAAGCTGTTTCATGGCCAGGTGTGGGCTACTCCTTCATTATTTCTTCATCAATTAAGCAAGTAAAGGTCTGGAGTTGATTCTAAGTGTGGTATTTACATTTGGAATCTGTTTCTGTGAACCTACATCATGCTTTCAAAGGAGTTGTCCATGCGAGTGAAACAGGACATTGTAAGGCTTCAAAAACGAAGTGGCCAAATCAACAGTTTGGTACATTCTGAGGAAAGAAGAACACACTGGTGAGCTCAACAACATAAAAAGGTAGAGACGTCCATGGAAGACATCAGTGGTGGATGATTTCAGGATCCTCTCTATGGTAAAGAAAAACCCATTCACAACATCCAGACAAGTGAAGGACACTCTCCAAAATAGGCGGGCGTATCATTGCCAAAGTCTACAATCAAGAGAACACTTCATGAGATCAAATACAGAAGGTTCACCACAAGGTGCAAACCATTCATAAGCCTGAAGAATAGAAAAGTTAGATTAGACTTTGCCAAAAAACATCTAAAAAAGGCAGACCAGTTATGTAAAAGCATTCTTTGGATGGATGAAACTGAGATTAATCTGTACCAGAATGACGGGAAGAAAAACTTGAAAAAAGTCTTTAAACAGATCATGATCCAATTCACACAGCTTCATCTGTAAAACATGGTGGAGGCAGTGTGATATCATGGGCATGCATGGCTTCCAGTGGCACTGGGTCATTGGTGTTTATTGATGATGTGACAGAAGACAGAAGCAGCCGGATGAATTCTGCAGTATTTAGATATATACTGTCAGCCCAGATTCAGCCAAATGTAGCCAAGTTGATTGGACGGCGCTTCAGAGTACAGAGGGACAATGATCCAAAACACACTGAAAAGCAAACCCAGGAGCTTTTGAAGGAAAAGAAGTGGAATATTCTGCAATAGCCGAGTCAGTCACCTGATCTCAACCCAATTGAGCAGGCATTTCACTTGCTGAAGGCAAAACTAAAGGCAGAAAGACCCACAAAGAACAACTGAAGACAGCTGTAGTTAGAGCCTGGCAAAGCATCAGAAAGGAGGAATCCTAGTCTTTGGTATTGTCCATGGGTTCCAGACTTCAGGCAGTCATTGCCAGTAAAGGATTCTAAACAAAATATTAAAAATGAACATTTTACTTATGATTATATTCATTTGTCCAATTATATTTGAGCCCCTGAAAATGGAGGGACTGTGTATAAAAATGGTTGCAGTTCCTAAAATTTGTACTTAATATTCATTTTCAACCACTTGAATTAAAGCTGAAAGTCTGCACTTCAAATTCATTTGGATTGTTTTTGTTTTAATTTATTCTGGTGGCATACAGAGCCAAAAGTATGAAAATTGTGCCTGTGCCCAAATATATACGTACCTAACTGTATATACACACTATATTGCCAAAAGTATTGGCACACCCCTCCAAATCATTGGACTGGAGTGTTCCAATCCCCTCAATGACCACAGGTGTATACAATCATCACTTAGGCATGCAGACTGCTTCTACAAACATTTGTGAAAGAATGGGTCGCTCTCAGGACCTCAGTGACTCCAAGCGTGGTACTGTGATAGGTTGTCACCTGTGCAATAAGTCCATCCGTGACATTTCCTTGTTACTAAATATTCCACGGTCAACTGTTAGTGGGATTATAACAAAGTGGAAGCAACTGGGAACAACAGCAACTCAGCCATGAAGTGGTAGGCCACGTAAAATGACAGAGCGGGGTCAGTGCATGCTAAAGCGCACAGTGTGTAGAAGTCGCCAACTGTCTGCAGAGTCAATAGCTAAAGACCTCCAAACTTCATGTGGCCTTCAGATTAGCACAACAACAGTGCTTAGAGAGCTCCATGGAATGGGTTTCCATGGGCCGAGCAGCTGTAGCCAAGCCTTACATCACCAAGTGCAATGCAAAGTGTCGGACTCTAGAGCAGTGGAGACGTGTTCTCTGGAGTAACCAATCACACTTCTCTGTCTGGCAATCCAATGGATGTGTCTGGATTTGGCGGTTGCCAGGAGAATGTTACTTGCCTGACTGCATTGTGCCAAGTGTAAAGTTTGGTGGAGGGGGGGGGGGATTATGGTGTGGGGGTGTTTTTCAGGGGTTGGGTTTGGCCCCTTTGTTCCAGTGAAGGAAACTCTTAAGGTGTCAACATACCAAGACATTTTGGACAATTTCATGCTTTGTGTGGCCTTCAGATTAGCACAACAGTGCGTAGAGAACTTCATGGAATGGGTTTCCATGGCCGAGCAGCTGCATCAAAGGCTTACATCACCAAGTGCAATATAATGCGTCAGATGCAGTAGTGTAAAGCACGCTGCCACTGGACTCTAGAGCAGTGGAGACATTTTTTCTGAAGTGGCAAATTATGCTTCTCTGTCTGGCAATCCGATGGATGTGTCTGGGTTTGGCGGTTTTCAGGAGAATGATACTTGCCTGACTGCATTGTACCAAGTGTGGGATCTATTATTGCAGGGGGATCTATTGTTGCTGGCTGCAGAGGATCTATTTTACTGATTTTCTTATTATCATTAACAAATTCCATAAAAATTACTTAGCACCACAAAATTATACTTGGCTCTGTTTTCTCTAAAAGGGGGAGTACTGGGAGGTGGGTAGAGGGTGAAACCAAGGGACGGTGCTTGGAGGTGGGTAGGGGGCAGAGACAAGGGGTGACTTGGAAGAGGTAAGTACCTGCACCTATTCTTTTAGAAAAAAAGCCCTTTATCAAGCTTTATAAAAGGCTACACATGGTCCAAAAGGTTGCTTTGTAAAATGGGAACCTGACTATTTTTGTACTTCCACGTGCTATTGCAATCAAGAGAAAAAGCGATTTTACTATGAATAAGGATATGTGGTTTTATGTATGACAGGTGCCCTTTAATGGTGACTTCTACCCTCCATTCCATTTTGGCCTGAAGAGTGATTTCTGCTTGGATTAATTCTTTGGATTCTGTCAGCTTCGATTCCTCCTGTTTTATTTTTATAGAAGTGTAGACTGGGCAGTTTTCTCCCTGCTAACATCCAGTGACAGCAGTGAGAGTTAGCAGCAGAAAACTGCCAGCTCTGCTTTACTCCCGGTATAGAATAAGAGCGATAATGCATGGAAATCACATTTAAGCCTCAGCTGAAAGCAGCCTCCACCAATGGAAAAGAAAAAAAAATTCGATCTTTCCCTAGAGAACGATTTTCCCCAGACCTAGACCTCACATAACCTCTCTGTAAGTGGTTTGGTTTTACATTAAAGTGGCAGATTTTACATGGGTACTTCTAATTCTGTCTGGTTTGTAGACCTGCACAGCAGGCTATAGCAAGGGTCCTTTGAGTAACTGTGTTGAGCTTCTCGGTATGTTCTGGACAGCACAGTAAGTGTAAGAGAGACAGCTACATCCATTCTTACATTTCCTAGTATGTAAGTTAAAGGCATCATATATCTGCAGATCGCCTCCAGATTCTTTCATCCACTTCATGCCTACATACCACCCTGGTGTGCCATCTTGGCTCATCAGGAGTGCCCTGCTGCTTCCCATTGTTTGTACAGCATCATACATTTCCATGATGAAAATGGGCCAGCCAAGGAATCTGATGTGCAAGTGGGGAGCTGAGGAGGTGGGAGCGAGAACTCTGATTAAAAGGGGGAACTGAGGACTCTGATGTAAACGGGGGTAACACAAAGGGGGGAACTGAGATCTCTGATGTAAAGGGGGGTAACTAAAAGAGGGGAACTGAGGACTCTGATGTAAAGGGGGTGGGGATCGCTGAAAGGGGGAACTGAGGACTCTGATGTAAAGAGGGTAAATAAAAGTGGGGAACTGAGGACTCTGATGTAAAGGGGGTAACTCAAAGGGGGAACTGAGGACTCTGATGTAAAGGGGGGATAACTTAAAGGGGGGACTGAGGACTCTGATGTAAAAGGGGTGGGGGTTAACTAAAAGGGGGAAACTGAGGACTGTCATGTAAAGGGGGGTGAATAAAAGGGGGAACTGAGGACTCTGATGTAAAGGGGGGTAAGTAAAAGGGGGGAACTGAAGAATCTGATGTAAAGGGAGGGTAACTAAAAGGGGGGAACTGAAGAATCTGATGTAAAGGGAGGGTAACTAAAAGGGGGGAACTGAGGACTCTGATGTAAAAGGGAGAGTGATTATGCACTTGGATTTAAAATGGGAGGACCAAGGACTCTGATGTGAAAGGGAATGACTGAAGAATCTGATGTGAAAGGGGGGGGAAGTCCAAAGGACTCTGATGTGAAAGTCTGGCTGCTCATGTGACAGAGGAACCCTATTGTAGATTGGGTATTTTGAGACTTTCAATGCCTTTAAAGCGGTGTTAAACCCCAAACCAAAAATGCAATATATTGCAACTTACCTATCATTAGATGATTGCATTAGACCCTGTAGAATAAAAAGGTGATAGATGCAAAATTTTATGTCACATGATATTTATACAACTGTTTATTAAAAAAAAAAAATTTCAGGAAAAAATATAATTACATTAATTTTAGTGCAAAACCACACACTATGATACTCATTTTTGGTTACAATATAAAAGCTGAGGTTACACAGAGTAAATAGATACCAAACATGCCATGTCTTAAAATTGTGTGTGCCCGCAATATTACCAAAAACCACAGCGCCCAAAAATCACCATAGGAGATGCTTTAAAAGCCTTTACAGCGTATCAGTTCAGAGTTGACTAGGAGCTCTAGTGCTAGAATTACTGTTCTCACTCTGACGTTCGTGGCGATATGTCACACATGTGGTGCGACTGTGGTTTACATACGTGTGCACACCCTGGGCTTGTGTTTGCACAGGTGTGGGAGGCAATGGGGGTTTCGGCAATTTTTTTTTTTTTTTACCACTTGCCCTCCAAAGATATACCCCCCTCATGACCAGACCATTTTTAGCTATATGTCGCTACGCTACTTTAAGTGACAATTGCGCGGTCACGCAATACTGTACCCAAATGAAATTTATATCATTTTTTTCACACAAATAGAGTTTTATGGGGTTTTTGATCATCATTGTTTTTCTTTTTGCGCTATAAATGAAAAAAGACAAAATTTAAAAAACAAATTACATTTTTTTGCTATAAAACATATCCAACAAAAAAAAAAAAACGAAATAAAAAAGAAAATTTCCTCATAAATTTAGGCCAAAATGCATTCTGCTACGTCTTTGGTAAAAAAAAAAATCCCAGTACGTGTATATTGATTTAATAATTGGTTTGTGTGAAAGTTCTAGTATCTACAAATGGCAGTTTATATACTGGATTTTTCTTTTTATACTAGTAATGGAGACGATCAGCAACTTACAGCGGGACTATGGCGGGCATTCTGACACTGGGTGGGAACTGACTAACTGCCACTGACATCCCCAGTGACACTAATTAAAAGCACTGACACTGTACTAATGACACTGGGCAGGAAGGGGTTAACATCTGGGGAGATCAAAGGGTTAACTGTGCCACGGAGTGTTTTTACTGTGTACTGTTTTACTAGGGAATGTGCTGGTTTTTAGTTCCTGCTTTGCAGGGAGATAAAAACCTGCACATCCCCGCTGACAGGAGAGAGATCTGTGTTTACACTCAGATCTCTCCCGTCAGCTGCTCCTCAGATCACCGAGTTCTGACCATGAATCGCTGGCTGGGACCCAGAGATTGTCATCTTCAGGAGCTGATATCAGCACCCCCCCCACCCAGAAATGCAAAATCACATATATTTTTACATGATTTTGTGCAGAGCGGCCACCCTGTAGCAGTAAACCCGCTATAGGACAGCCAGGAAGTGGTTAATTTTAATATATTTTATTGGTATTTTACTTTTTTAACTTTTTTTCTTGCATTTTTGTGTTTTATTTTTTACTTAATTGCTATCACAAGGAACTAATAAACCCCCATGTGATAGCATTTGGCAGGTGACAGGTACTCTTTATGGAGACATTAGGGGTCTAATAGATCCCAATGTCTCCTCTGCCCTACACACCATCTAACAAAGCGCAGATCAGCTTGGTTAGATGTGTCTCCTGGCTGTACTGGCCCGGAGGTGGGGCATCTGATACCGGAAGTGACATCACTGGTTTTAGTGTTTGCATGTGAAATCGAGGAACGGATTTGCTTTGGTCTCACAGCGCTCTCTCTCCCCTAGCTGGCAGTAGTGTTCCCAGGCTCCTGTAAGAGCGGGAGGTCCCGGGGACCATGGGAGGGGGGGGGGGGGTGGTCAACTTGTGACTACAGGTTCATGATTTGGATGTATATGTCCAAAAAGCTGAAATGGTTAATAAAGTCTGAAGGGCAATTTTTGCAGTTATTGTCCACTCAGGGGCTGACTGACCATTTGGAAATTCGGGCACTGCCTGAGGGCCCGGGGTCAGTAGGGGGCCCCATGAGATGCCCCTGGTACCTTTTTCATAGGCTTTTTTTGAGTGTGGGCAAGGATACAGGGGCCCCCATGATCCCCTATTGCCCGGGGCCCCATGAGTTGTCAGTCCACCCCTGTGTCCACCCAATACCCCTTCCACATAACAGGTGATTCAAAGATACACAACCCATTGCAGAACATCTATCATGAATCTGGGTAGGGGGTTGTTGGGATGGGCTATGTCCACCCCCCCCCCCCCCAGCTTTGGTTTGCGCCTCCCCCTTGGTCTGCGTGACCACGGCTGCATCCATGATTCCTAGGCACTCTGATGGGGCAATTGATGTAAAGAGGCACTCTGATGTGGACCATTGATGTAAGGGGGCACTCTGATGTGGACCATTGATGTAAGGGGGCACTATGATGTGGACCATTGATGTAAGGGGGCACTCTGATGTGGACCATTGATGAAAGGGGACACTCTGATTGGGCAATTGATGTAAGGGGCACTCTGATGTGGACCATTGATGTAAGGGGGCATTCTGATTGGGCAATTGATGTAAGGGGGCACTCTGATGTGG